GGGAGGGAGGGAGGGAGGGAGGGAGGGAGGGAAGAAGGAAGGAAGGAAAGCAACTATAAACAAACAAAAAGCAACCTAGAAAAATCTTTTTGGACTTCAATATTCCTGCCTACAAAATGTTAAAAAAAATAATTTGACACAGTTAACTAAAAAAAAAAGTGGAAAATTTTTGCAAATTATAGAGCTTTAAAAGATTTGGAATCTTGCATACTTAACATGGTATGTATGTTTTTCTTGATGTATGTAGATTTATTCTTTTAATCTTATTCTTATTTATTCTTTGAAAATGTCATGCATATGTACAGTGTACCTTGATCATATTCATCTTTTACCCTTCCCCCAACATATCTCCTTTCTAACTTCATGTTCTCTTCTTAAAAAAAACTTTTAACCCACTGAGACCAGTTAATCCTGCTCAAATGCACATTGATGAAGAGTCATCCTCTAGGATGTGGGCAGCCTACCAGTGGCTTCATCCCAAAGAAAAGTGACTCTCCCTCCCCTATCAATCATGAATTGACAATAGCACTTCAGCTAGAAGTAGGATTTCAGTAGCCCACTTCTACATCCTTGTTGGAATTTTTAAAGGGCTTGATCTTGGGAAAGTCTTATGCAGGCAACCAGAGCTGCTGTGAGTTCATATTTGCAAGAGCCTTGTCATGTCCAGAAGACATCTCACAGCATTCTCTCCTGTCCTTTGGCTCTCACACTCTTTCTGCTCCCTATTCTGAAATTTTGGTGATATTTTGGGGCCAGGGAGAACTGCAAGTTAACACAGATGTCCAACCCTTACTTAATACTCATAATCACTTATTTTCAGCATTTTGAATAGTTATGGGGATCTGTGAACTTAGTCATTGCCCATTGCAATAAAAAGCTCTACCAACTTAGCTATACCCTCAGCCCTGGAGATCATTAGTTCAAGTGAAATAAACCAGACTAATAAAAATAAATATCCTGTTTTTTATTTCATATGCAGTCTAGATTTATATATAAATGAATATATATGACATAAAAGATTGTAGCTGGCTTTAAGGTGAGAGAATAAGGAAAGGGAATGAGTAGAGAATAAGAGAGAATGATGAATACAAATGTCAAAAGCAAAAATGTGCACTAACTTCAGGGGCAATAGTTACTCTAACTTGGGAATCACAGGATATAAATACCTAAGAGAAACACTCAAGAATTTAAAAACTTGCTGTGCTCCTGGTTTTCCAACTTCTTCAGGGCTACCAAAGCTGTATTTCTCCAGGGAAGAAAATGTATCTGAACTCTAATATAACTAATATAAATTTTCCTTTCTAAGAAACAGAATATGGAGCTATCCCTGTCTGTTAGAAGGCACTATGTCCATCCAGTAAGTTTGACCTCGTAGAAAAATGAAGGTATCAAGCCATCTCTGTGGTACTAGTGGGATTAGAAAAGTTGTGACAATGGCATATGGGACTAGATCTGGAAGGGAAATTAAAGAGAGTCACAGGATAGAGAACTAGTAAAAGGCAAGGTGTAGATGGTACCAACCCTAAGCTAGACTCACATACTCTTTGGGAGGACCTAGATCATACAAAAGGACTCAATGATCTGAACAAACTTGATGGAGGATATCTTGAGCAGCCTTCTTTGAGTGCTCATAAGAGTATGAAGCAGAATGTAGATTTGGAGGAGAAAGAATTGCCTCCACCCCACTATTGTCCAGGTGGTCATCATTAATTAAAAACATTACTAGTCTACCTCTTACTTCCTTTCTCATTTTCTAATAGTTTCAACTCTTCTTTCTGTTTTTCAGTTCTCTCACACACATGCCCCTTGTTCTTTCTACTATCATTTCAGTTTATTTTTCCTCTATTTTCAGACATTTCTTTTTCCATCTTCTTACTGTCTTGGGAATACACATGCTTCTGTTCTCCTCATTAGTTCTATGTTCTCTCTACTCCGTATCATTCAGATCAGAGCCATTCCAATGTATAATGTTAAACCCTAGCCCAGAAGCTCCCAGCAGGGAGGAAAACTATAGCACCATTTTCCACTGGATGACTTTCTCTCTTCCCCTCATCACCCATCATCCCTCATCCCTGTTTCCAGTTCCTGCTAACCAGGTTTCATGTTAGATTAAATCTTAAATTGAAATTTATCAATTTAAATTGAGAGAAATTCCTATCACTGCCTTTATATTCTAATTTGATACCATAAGGATTACGATCATGCCTCTGTGCTTGGTGCATCTACTCTACACACCGAGATCAATGACCTTTGGGTCACTCTGAAAGGTCACCTATGTGAAGGTTCTTTAAAGATCCCTGTGATGCTCTGAGAAGGTGGTCTGCATGTTCATGGGAGGAGACAGGCAGAGAGAGCTTATTGACATGGGAGAAGAAAGACAGCAATTGGAGAAAAGAATGAAAAGCAGCATGAATTCAGGGGTTGGGAGAAAAAAAAAACATGAGGGGATTTTTTAGAATATTCTTCAAAACAGAGTCGAAGGATCCTGTGACCAATACACAGCTCTTAGCTTGAAATACCAGTTCAAATGGCTTTGTGTGCACAAATAAAAACACCTCAACAACAATGTCAATAGACATGTTAATATGGAAGGGGGAAATTTTCACAGGGTCCCACCCCTAGACAAAGAACTGTGGGAAACTAATGACTTTTTGGAGAATTAGCCTCTCCCAAGGATTAGCCCCTTTATTGATTGCCCCATGCAGAGTGTTCAAAATTACAATTAAAAGGCAGAGACTGAAAAGACAGAAATACAGTCCTGGTGTCCTCTCTGAACATGACTGACAATGTTAGCTACATACTTTCCTTTCAATGGTTTCTATGGCACACATTTCTAGAAAAACACTAAAGAAATAGATGGATAATATCTCAACCTCCTCCCTAAATTAGGGACTGTGAACTTTTTATAAGTCAAACATCAAAACCCAATTATACCTGATTAAATCACAAGGAAAACTAGTGGCAGTAGAAAACAATCAATATTCACATTAAAAAATGTGGATGAGAGTTCTATTCCTCAGCATACCACTGAAGAGTCTCTTGTTATCACGGGCTGTCCCACCTGGTGTTAACAGCTTTACAAGTCATACCCAGTGTCTAACTGCTGCCAAGGCATCCCTGATGCCAAGATTCGCATCTGACTTGGAATGGAAGAAAGCAAAACTTGATGAATTCCCACTTTATGGCCACATGATGTCAGATTAATATGAGCAGTCTACTCAAAAGCCCTAGAAGCTGACTATATTTTTACCCAAAAAATACATGATAAAGAGTATTATGACAAGAATAACTTTCATATTTGGGTGAGGCTCCACTTCATCTGCATCAACAAGATGTTGTCTTATGCTGAGGATGACTGGCTCCAGATGGGTATGTGTGGTGCCTTTGGGAAATCCCTGGGCACGGCAGTCAGCCTTCACAGTGGCCAGGTTATCATGTCCACCCTGCAACAAGCTATAGAATTAGAAATGTGATTGATGCCCTGTGTAGAACAGAATTCAAGTTTCCTGGCTGCCAGAAGATACACATCTCAAAGACACATGGCAGGTAAGACATGGCTTATCCCTGATGGCTGTGGGGTCAAATATATGCCCGATCATGGTCTCATGGACAAATGACCAGCCCTGCATTCCTAAGGGCTTCCACTGTGCTCTCCTATACACCATCCAGCCATGCTCAGTAATAAATCTTATATCCAGTCTGCCACAGGAAGGTGGGTGATGGGAATATTACGCAGGCTTTGGAAGAATAAATGTAATATTAAAATAACTTTTAAATTTAATTCACATTAAAACCAACACTTCCCTTCAAGTATTCAAACTATTGAAAGTCATTTTGTGATCAGCATATTGTTAGAAAATGAAACTCTAAGGTAAACCATTTTGGTCCCCTTACTCAAGGAGAGCAGTCTAGTGGCTAAAGCAGAAACGTGAAAAATCAAGTATATTCCAATGCAATAAAAATTAGATTAAAACACAGAAATAAGACATTTTGGAAGCCCTAAAGGCGAAGGGATATTGTTTCTCTAGAAAATACTAGGACGCTAACCACAGAGAGTGGCATGGTATGTAGACTGGAAGATGCAGGAGAATATACCAGAAAGCTATATGGCCATGAACCAGAGCATAGAAACATGAAAGCATTTTGCTCATTTGTGGACAAGGAAGTTTAATTCCCAAAGTCTTCATTGTCCTAGCTGATGAAATTCCACAATTGCAACCCCATAACCATAAACTTTGAAGTTACTATGTCTCCCACTTTCT